ATGTTCAAATTTAAAATTTATCGCTGTAATAAAATCATAAGTGCATAGATCGTGCATGATGATCGTGAATAAGTTTCACGTTTTATTAAAGCAATTCTAACAAATGTGGTGCAATGACATGGACCAATATTTAGGGTAAAATCACTCTCATATTCTTTGATTTGTGCTTAGATCTTTATTATAAATAATTTACTATATTACTTTAGAATCACAACACGAGATATCCTGGTCGTTACTTGAAGATATATGTGACGTCATTTGCATACATTAAATCTATTTTAAAAGATTAGTTACTCTGAATGTGAATAAATCAAAGTCATTTTTGTTTGCAAAGGGCTTGTAACTTTGAATATGAATAAATTAAAGTCATTGTTTTGTATTGCAATGTTGAATATTCAGTTCATCTGATGAATATGAATAGCGTATTTTTTCTTCATGAGGTGGGGCTTGCATCGCAATAATGACTGAAGGTCACATGACGACTTTCCGGGTTTATTTGCGAAGGAGGACTCCAGATGCCTCTCAATGCATTATTTCAGGCACGACTAAGCATTTAAGTAGAGCCACTGACGTTCCGTAATCTACCTGGATAGTTTCATCATATCAATAAAGTCACTGCGGGATTTGAACTCGCTGTAATAGAGTGTAAGTGATTCGAAATCTTTGGCATTAAATAAACGAGCAAGGAGTCTCGCTCCCAATAATTTGTACTGACATTTTCAATGATTTTGTTGGAAGGAAAGGTGATATTTTTGGCGTTTCTAATATAGTTTACGTAAACAATACAATTATTTTTGTTGGGTACAAAATGTTTCTGGATTTGGTATAGCAAGCACGAAAGGGAAGTTTTCATTACGCACTACTTTAGACAACACTAGAGTGGGCGATATGTTTACGTTAACTCTGTTCCGTAACGTACACAGTTTAAAGTCACGTCAATAACGTAATAATGTTGACGGAATAGTTATAGTACACGCGAGAAGGGTATATTACGTTACTTAACACGGCAAGACATTTTAAAAAGTCTATTAGCATAATGTAGATACCAGATTTCTGGTCATGTATTCTATGTTTGACCGGCAATGACCTTAGAGTTAATTACAATTTACACACATATATACCTGTCAAATGTAATTATGTTATACAGGCTGTCAATAAGGCAAATATCAACTGACATTTTGTGATAAATATACTTACATGCGTGTATATATATATATATACATATAAGTTCCGCGTGTCTAAATATACGTGTATTACTCATTGCATTAGGAATATTAATATGTATGTAATTGATTTAAAGCGTGCGAAATTCATTTGCTTTTAAGGTGATACATATATCTATAAGATGATCGGTAAATTCCGGTTAACTTCGCTTCTTTTCGTGTTTTATGAGTAGCAAAAGTTCTTGTCAACTCACCGCATTTTATATATGATACGGAAAAGCGGCATATATTGACGGTCAATAAAATATCAAACTCCTCACAGTGATTACCTCACTTGGCAGAATTGTACTGATAAGGGGAGATCACTGTGTACGAGATTGATAAAATATATGTTTGAAATTCGAATGTACTTTATATATTCATGTTCAACTCAAGTACATTAAATAAGTTTTACAACTGATCAGACGAACTAGATCTAATACGCTCAAAAAAGGTTATAAACCGCTCCATACAGAACTTTCGACTAAACCGGAAGTTAACACTAAAGTTTGAAGAGTCGGTTGTCACAAGTTGGAGGGGAACGCAATAAAACACTAATGGAAATTATAGGTTTTTTTTTCATTTTTACAACATAGATAAATGGGCCCAGTGCGTTCACCAATCACAATTACATACAAGGTAATAAAATCAGAACAATCTGCATTTGACATTTGAAAAACTGTTAACTCATCCACTTCCCTATATTCTTTCAATATTTGAAATAATATAATAAAGAAATATTTATCGATATTTTTGTCACCAGTTGAAGCCAGGTAGTCGCCGTTTTATGAATGACAGACATAACAGTGTGCCAAGGCCACATAACTGCACAATAAAATATAAATTTCAAGCGTTTTATATACTTACACAATTGAATCGTGTGGGAAAGCTGTAAAATATTCATAATTTTATACACATCAATTTGTCTCAATATCATATTGCAGTGTACTAATCAGACTTGGGATCACTGCCTCCAAACTTGTTTTAAACAAAGATTCGTTTGTATAAGCTTCCGTTGATACATCAATAAATCTGAAAAAGCCATGATTGTTCTTGCATTGACCCTTGCATGGTGATGTGACGGATATGACGATTGACAATAACATGAATTTATATCAGACCTGATTGATTTATTATCAGTTGAACAGTTACTACTAACGTATTATTACCGGATTTAAACATATCGATGACACTTTAGATGTATCGTCAAGGCTTTGACACGACGACAACAGTTTAAAGTAGCTAGATTTCAGATGTGCGTCAAGTTTTTATGAAAATGTAAAAACTTGTTTGAATTGTTATCAAATCAAATATTTACAAAAAATGACTACGTAAAGCCTGAGACACCTACTATGTACAGATTTCCCAAACTAAAGTATAAATGTAAAGACATAACTATATAGATTGCTTTATTAGTTATATATTGAATACGGTGGAAAAGATTAAAAAAAAATGTCATAAGTCTAACTTGGATGAAAAATATATCATAATTTTGCGTCAAAGAAGGTCATTTCTTAAGCGTTATTTCTTTAGAGACATTCATCTTAATGGGACAAATGAGCTCTATTTTCAAATCAAGGAGATTTCTACTATGCCCCAATACCTTATGAACATGGTATCAGTATATTCAAACTTGATTCCTCATTAAAAAGAGGACAATTTTAATTTTGATTTTACTTTTTATTTTTATATATATTTTTTCATAATCCATATAAAAATCGGAATAAACACTTTTGTTTTGTTTTTGTTTTTTTCTCAAAATCACATATTTTAGTTTCATTTACAATTTATTTTTAAATTCAATTGGACATTATCATTTTGTTCTTGAAGACTTTTTGGATCTGTTATGAATAAAACAAGATCATCTGCAAAACAATCATCTAAAGTCTACCCATCAAGATTCATGTAAGATTCCAGCAATAACATTTATGAAAGACATAAATTGTAACGGTGACTATGTATCTCCCTGTTTTAAACCGATTGCTACATTGAAAAAAGTCAGACATGTTCATTTTACTTGGCAATTTAACAAAGGCTTTTTAAACCGATAGCTACATTGAAAAAAGTCAGACATGTTCATATTACATGACAATTTTACATAGGCTTTGGAATTCAAATATTTGCATCTAACCATAAACATTGTATGTCACTGACAGCTTAGTCTTGATGTATCAGTTTACCCCATAATGCATATCAAAAGGGTCTCAACAGCTAGACACGCCACATTTTTTATTTTACGTTTTGATAAAAATCTTTGAGAAAAAAAATGACAAGAAATAAGGAAATAACATTTGAAGCAGAGAAGCAGTCCAATTATTATTTAGTACATGTTCTTTTTCACATTGATACAGTTTGGCCATTAATCATACCTCTGGATATATAAAGTTTTAATTGATATCATTAAAAATTTCGGCGCACCATGCAGTATAGGTCAAATGGCGCCGAAACAGGAAAGATGATTTTGGCAAAGCTCGGGTGTTACAAACTTTAAAGCAATACCAGGGGTAAAAACCATCTCATATGCTGGGGATAAAAGATGCAAATACTCCAGTTATTTGAACCCATTTAGTAACGTCCTACGATCACGCATGAATAAACACTGGCTGAATTTCTTATAGTGCCTCAACTATTAATAGCAACCCCTCAGCCACAAAGGGGCTTTTACATAAATAAAGAGATAGAGATATGACATTGTTAACATCAATGAAAAAGTCACAGAAAGTCATTGTTTTCATATTCAAAACTTTTGTATCTATTTGAAGAAGATATTGTTAGAAGAAGAAAATATTGTTTGTAGAAGATATTGTTTTTACCAGATATTGTTCTATCAAGATAGTCATCACTTATATAGTTACACCACGTTCATTTTTATTCTGTATTTTTTTTGTAGAAAAAGAGGTAACAATAGACGAAATAACTGATAAAACTGATAACACAAATATAAAACACAACCATTTACTTTAAGTTATTACTATGATTAGAGGACGACTAAAGTTTCTTGACAATTTCTTCAAGGTTGTATGAAAATGAAAAACGTTAACTCGCAGCTGATATGTCTCAAACTTTAGTAACGGTGTGGTAAGTTAATGAAATGTAATTTGCATGATGAAATGATGGTGTAATTCTACTTAATGTTAACAAAAGTTACATAAACCTCTCAAGATGATGGTAAAATGAAAATTAATGCGGGGTAACGCCCACGAATGTAAACTCTTTATAAATGTCTTATTTAAACAAATGACATTTATGTAAGTTTAGAAAATAAAAACATACAAAAGACCGGCTTTTTAATATTATGACAACTATAGAATTTGTGTTCAAATGTTAAGTTAGCCTTTTAAGAAAGATTTTTTTATCACTTATTTACCTTCATTTTTTACCATAATAAACAGTACAATCGTTCGTACTTTCATTCGAATTTTAATATTGTTCATTTGTTTGTTTCTTTCTATCTTTCTCTTGTTTCTTTCTTTATTTGTTTTGTTTCATTCTTTATATCTTTCTTTCTCTCGTTTCTTTCAATATTCTCTTTTCTTTCCGCATGTTTTTCTATCTATACTTTATATACTTATCATTTTCTTGTTTTTTACTTTTTCTTTCTTTCCTTTTCTTTCTATCTTCTTTTTTTCTTTCTCTCTCTCTTTCTTTCTTTCTTTCATATTCCGTTTTTATTTTTTTTATCATTTGTACATACATTCATGTTTATATAGCGGCACTCATATTCCATGTACATTAGTGTCATATTTCTGCATATACTGGTAATATATTATTTCAGGATATTTTCGTGTATAATTTCAGGATGTGACGGTCACGAGCGTGCCATAGAATGTCAGGATCATTCTGTCTGATATGCCTGTCCCTAATCGTCTCAGCAGGTAGGTTAAAATTTTCCCTTTCTATTCATTGCCTTTTGAGCCGTGTCACGACAAAACCAACATAATGGGTTTGCGACCAGCATGGATCCAGACCAGCCTGCGCATCCGCGCAGTCTGATCAGGATCCATGCTGTTCGTTTACAAACTCTATTACAAGTAGAGACACTGATAGCGAACAGCATGGATCCTGATCAGACTGCGCGAATGCTGGTCGCAAACCCATTGTGTTGGTTTTGTCATGACGCGGCTCATTTATTGCCTCCCTTAATAAGAAAGAAAGACATACAAAAACAACGATAATGGCATTGTGATCACGTATTACATGAAAATATGAAGCAAAAATTCCATTCTTTATCATTTTATTACATGCAATATGTAAACATATAAACGCTGCCCACTGAGCAAAAGTAATGGTTATGTGAAAAAAGTTTTACACAACCACTGTATTCTCAGTAGGGCTGAACAAAATAAATGGCGCGTCGTGCATGATATCAACAAAATAGCGTGGCTTACGTAATATCAATTGATGTAATTGCATTTAAATCGAAAATAAAATAAATTATTTTGTTTCAAAGCATGTCGCTTGTGTCAAAAAAACATCAAGGAAAAGACCCGATGTTTTATCATCACATAATTTACATCTTTAAATACAATGTTATGACTGAGAATAACTATTCAAGGATTCTTACTTTTGCCCTTTACCCATTATTTATATGTAATCGCGATTTCCGGTGTGTACCATTAGACCGTCTATTATCTTTTTCTGTGTTGGACGGTGCGGCATCCACTCCTGCTTTTTTTCTAGATAGCAAATAGAAACTGTGGAAAAAAAAGTTAAAACAATGTTGTTCAGTCATATCAAAGTAGTTGTCAAGTATCTAAAGGTATTTCGGTACTGATTGCGGTTTTACCATAATCTTAGTCATTTGTCATCAAGACAAAAATTATCGCCGGCTCATGTTGTAAATATTTCGAAAATTTGTACGTTTTGTTGAAAGTGTCTATAAAAAAGGAGAAAGCACAATAAAACTCGTATCTCACTATTTTCTAGTGTTTGAATGGCGATTATGACTACTGCGTAATTGTGATTAACTTAGTAATTAACAAGTTATATACTGAGGTTAATTGTCGTAGCATAAGAGGTCCGTCGTCGTTATAAATGTTATATAAACATACAAAAATTTATAAACATTATAATGGATGACGTTTGAAACAATAATCGTATAATTAACAAGACAAAAAGTAGTCCGAGCATTTTGGCGTATGAATATACTTTTATGTTAATAAGTGTATATCAAGTTCAATTTTATTTTTGATGATGTGAATCCTTCTTTAAAGTATTAGGTTTCATGTATTTAACATTTTATCTTTCTTTACGCATGCGCAGTAAAACGTCCGAGCCTTAAGTATTACTACGTCATCATTTTAATGGCACAATAAAATAGCTCATTTTCGTCCATCAAACATATTGACAAAATACCATTAGATTTACAACGTATCACATGCTCATCCATCATCGGAAGATGTCAACAGTAAGTTCAAAGTTTTATTCTTGCCCAGGTTTTCTGTGAACTTTATTGTTCAATAACGATAAGATAACGCCATTAAGTTGTCGATGGTTAATTGATGGAGTATCGCAGCCATTTTTTAGTATAAATAAACGAGACAAAGTTCATGGTGTTAATCATGTGGTGTTTAATTAAATGATATAAACAACGGTAGATCATGTTAATAGCTAGGTTATGAAATTCATCAAAAAACATACATGTATCAAATTGAATATATCATTTACGTTACTAATGTGAAAGGTGTTTCAACAAGTATATTCATTTGAATGTCCTGACTGTCCTTCGTTCTTTCTTTCTCATTCTCCGTACTGTTTCTACATATGCAAACAATGTATTGACAGATTTAAATCATTTAATTAGTTAGAAATAATTGTGAAGATACCTTGCATGGACCTCTTCCATAGAAGAGATGGTTTGGGTTTGGTGTAGTCAAGGTAATTGAAAGATCCTTACTTTTTTATTTGAATAACAATAGATTTAACCACACGCATTGACATGTGCTCTTTTGTTAACAAATATGTTGTGGTGAAATCCGTATTGCATCCATTTATCTGATAATTAGAATTAGACAGGTCAGGGATCTATGAATTGATTTCTACTTCCTTTACCGATATCTTACATATTTGGCGTGCAGTTATGCTGTGCATGGACATTTTCTCTTCGTGGATTTTAATAAGGTCGAAAAGTGAAATGTGCCACTGACGATATGATAACATTACTGTTCAAGCTGTTTAGGCTATGTCAATTTTAGTTTGCTTACAATACTGAAAATGCCATTCTAGCACTTAAGTCACAGCGTATTAAATCACAAAAAGAGAAAAATATTGTCAAATAGCAACAATTTTTTTATTCATTGTGCCGTGTGACGAAAAATGTTACCTCTTCTGTTAAAATGGATTCATCCTGTTTTAACTATGGAACAATCCATTATAAGAATACGGGATTTCAACGTAAAAATGCAAAGAAATGAGCTACAGTAGTGAGATGCTTGCTGACCTGGCTCTATACTGGTGACCAATCATTTCTGGACTGAACAGGTTAAATGTTAATATTTTTCGGACTGTTCAGTCACAAGGATAGATTCATTACTATGAATGATTACAGGTCAAAGTCTAGTTTTTGGGAAAGAAAATTAGTTATTTTGATTACTATTGTCAAACGCACAAAAACACTCACACGCACACATACTAGAATTTCGCTGTTGACAATTTTTGGTCACTTAACATAGTTCATTAGAAGTGTTATAGATACGAAAATAGATATTGACAAATATATTGACTACTGGTGTGTGTTCTACATATTAAAACTATGCGGAAACATTTGTATAAATACTGACAAATTAATGACATTTACACGTATATAGCCATATTACTCATTTGTGGTTAGAAATTTTCTTGTTATTTGCCACTTTCCTCCTTGCGAATTCTTGGCGGGCACTTCTTGTGTTACTGCGATTGTCCTAAAATAGATTTTAAAATATTGCGGTCCATATACGTAGAAAAAGTGTTGAAATATACAAAACTGGTTGCATAAAAATATGTTAAGAAATATGAATTATTACTATAGAGTTAAATTATAGAAACAGAGCACATGTTACATTCGCCACAACAGAAGTGGGACACATGCGCCCGGGGATTTAGAGGTATAAGTTCGAGCCCTTTTTAACGGTATCAGTTCCTTATGTTATAGACCTTAGGAATTTCTTTGAAGGTTTACTTTAATAAATGAGAGGTATTCTTTGAAGCACTGGCTTTAAGTTTGAAACAAATAACTCAAGTACATTAAAATGTTATTAAAGTGACATTGTGTCAATCCAAGAGTATAATAGAGTGAACAGATGAAAGTCAAAAAAAGTTTACATTTTTATATAATTCCGTTTAATTTTACAATTTATTTCGCATGAACGATAGATAAATAACGATGATCAAGGTTGTTTTTTTTTTTTTTTTTTTTTTTTTTCCTTTGAATTTACAGATAATGTTCAATTTATAAAAATGGGGGGCGTCTTTTTTTATTTTAGGCAGATTTAAATTTGTATCCTTAACATTTTATAATATCATCTATCTGTCGAACAACGTTATACAGTCAGTCATTTAAAATATAGAGTCAATTCAGCTCGACTTGGCGATGCAAAAATGGCGACTTGGCGATGCATAATGTAACATTAATGCTGTCGATTTCGGGAGCAAATGTTGTCGGGGTTTTTTTTAATAACATAAAAAGTTTAAAATAGAGAGAAACGTCAGGCGTTATGAAATTCAATTTAAAATTAGAATTCACGGTCGTCTTTTCAGTCGCATAAGCAAAAAAGGAAAAAGAAATGACAATTCAACAATAAACACAACAAAATGGAAGTAGAATTGGCGTACCGAGACAAGTCAAATGAACGTTTTATTAGTAAATGCATAAAATTACATATAATATATTCAAACTGTTTATGATATTATTAACTTGTACATAATTACCACTAATTATGATGAAAATTATTTTAATTTGGAGACTTGCTAAAATGAATGGATTGTTTAAATATTGTTGGTTGTTAGTGTTTTTGGCATTATAACCGGATGTTTCGGATGTTTTCCCGTATTTTATTGTTCCATTTTGTCAAGTCTGAAATGATGTTATATTAATCCTCCCATTATAGGCATATTATGCCTCGGAAATAAATTTTTTAACATCTTAAGAAAGGGCAAACATGGATTTTAAATGTTTAAAGATCCTGTATGTTGTAATTAAGGTTGATACCACACTTAAGTGAAAATTTATATATGTATATTTATGCTTCTAAAACAATTTTCAAACATCAAAGAATATGTGAAATATGTACTGCAAATATTTGTCCACATTACATATAATCATAAAAATATATGCATTCATTTCTTATTGAAATATTTGACTTTATAGAAAATAAATGTCTAATTACCTCTTTTTATTAACATAAAATGTAAAATTGGTAATATCTTTACAAATAATGCTTTTTGGAACTAACAATATTGATAAATCTTCATTTGAGCATTATATTTATTATATAAAACCATAAAAATGAGTTACAGATTCTTTAACTAATGGTTTAAAAGAATGTTAGATGCTTGTTAGCTGAAGAATGTAGCAACAAATGTGAAATAATTTGTTATAAAAGTAGCTGAATGTAAACAAAGCAGTGTTTGGACTTCCATAAAAATACCAATTCACTAAACAAAGCAGTGTTTGGACTTCCATACAAAATACTAATTCACTATAATTGTACTGATTGCAAAAAAGCAACAGATGAACAAGATGGTTCATTAAACTGGCCAATGAGTAGCTTCTTGGATACTATAAAAGTACATCAAAATTAAAAAGTTTTTGAGAAATAAAGAAAAAACATTTCTGAGGCATAATTGCATAAACACATTAAACTTTGAAAATGATACAAGCGAACGCACTTGTCATTAGCACAAAGTTGCCATATAACACTGAGAGGGAAAAAAACTATCTCAAATAGCACGAAATGTAGAGAGACTAAATAATCGAAACTATGGTCCAATGCCAAATACAAAGGTATTGTTTGGTTGGTTTAGAATAGAGAAACTTCGCTTTATGATGCCAAGAAGATATTGTTCCATGCGTTGATTGATTTTTTAATGTTAATGGAGCGTTGTTTTGAATATCACCGTCTTTTGACTAGCACCGACTGTGGAAGAATTAAACATTTCATGTGTCAATTAAAACTTTTGAAACATTCACACAAATAATCACATGAAACCATCAATGTGACACGTTTATGACTATCCATGTGAAAAGAGGCTTATGGTTCTAAATTTTAAGGTGCGTTGCCCAAAAATATTTTGTCATGTTTAACATTTGTCCCATTGAACAATGATAATCTTGTGGAGGCGTGGCCGAATGGTTGTCGCATCGGACAAGTGAGCTTAGTATTGCTGGCCACGTGGGTTCAAACCCCTGTGAGAGCCAACCCGTTGCTTCCTTGAGCAAAAAACATTACACTCATTGCTTAGTACTCTGATTCCAGGAACAGATCCGAGGGAGTGTTTCAAGAAGCTTTATAGCTTCCAAAACAGTCGACCTTAATACTATGTACTGATAGTAAATGATGAATAAGAAGTTAAAATTTTATATATCATTTTATTTGTTTAGTTGTTTCTGTACATTTAACAACTAAAATTCTTGATTTTCTCGTTTTAGTAGTCCCTAATGCATGGTGCCAAAATCATGATCAACAAAATTCGTCCCGGCAGCGGATAGTCGTGCCCGAGAATCTGGAGGTACAGACCATCAGTCCAGATGACCCCCGGGCCAAGTTAAAGGGCCTTTGTAGAGTCGGCTGGTCGTCGGGAACTATGAAAGACTTTTCTGGAAAAGAAATTCCAATCTGCTTGAAAATAAATCCAGATGCCCTGACGTGGTCAGAGGCGCAACAGACTTGCAGAAAAGATTATGGTTTTCTGATGAAGTTTGACTCCCACGCTACTATTAACAAGGCCGACCTGTTGTCTTCGGTGATAACAAAAGGTTCGTAAATCCGTATGACTAATACACAATTAGTATCGTTATTTAAGAAAGTATTTTCAAACTGTGAAAGATATCACTGAAACACCTATGTAAATAAAAAGTATTTAAGCAGTGAAGAAAAGAAAATACTATCATTTAAGAACTAGTATAAAGTAATACCTTTAATATGTTTAAATATCCTGTATGTTGTAATTAGGGTTGTTACCATACTTAAGTGAAATTTTATATATGTATATGATTATGCTTCTAAAACAATTTTCAAAAATCAAAGAATATGTAAAGTAATGTACTGCAAATATTTGTCACATTATAATTATGTAATCATTAAAATATATGAATTAATTTCTAATTGAAAAAAATGACTTAAGACTTTATAGAAAACAAATTTCTAATAACCTCCCTTTATTAACATGAAATGTAAATTCGGTAATATCTCTACAAATCATGCTTTTTGGAACTTACAATATCGATAAATCTTCATTTTAGCATTATATTTATGATATAAAACCAAAACAAAAATGAGTTACAGGATCTTTATCTTAGTGATGTAATAGCTGTATCAATTCTAGATATATAAACTTTCATTATTTGGAATGCCTTTGAGAAAACAAAATATCAAACGAACTTAAGAAGACAGTGGTGTTATTTTAAACATTTAACTTGTATAAACTTTATATTGTTTTAGATTCGTAATTAATATAATAATAAAACAGGAAGCATTGACAAGGTAATGGGAATTATAAGTAAAACAGTGTTCTTTCATTGGTTTTGCAGGTATTACTAAATTCTGGACAGGAATGCATACGGGAAACAATCATCTAATTTGGGATGATCTTATACCTAATCAAGTCCGGCCGAACAATAGGTAAGATATGGTGCATGCTTAATTTATATAACAAAACGGTTTTCACTCAGCCGATATTTTGCTCATTAGGTTCACTAAGTGCGATTTTTATTGCAGTTCATTTGGGTTATGTGCGTTGAATTCAAATTAAATTGAAAGTCATTGTCTTTCGATTACCGATTCACCGTCGCGACAGGGATTTGACGTTTAAAAAACAACAAAAGACTTATTCTATCTTAACGTTCAATTGGTACATTTCTACAATGTTTGCACAGTGTGCAATAATAAATCTTTTAACTTTGCCAGTAAGTCAATCTTTCTTCATTGAGAGGTATCTTATATAATATTTAAACATATTTTTCTCGAAATGGATCTGTACATTTCATGATTGTGGGATAAAAGAAGTTTCTTAAAGTCTCTTATGTAAATAAAATTTAAGAGAAAAATATTTACATAGTAACGGCAGAGTCCCTATTACTTCCGGTAGATTAATGGGTAATGCAAAGGGATACTAAATTTTCCCTATATTGGTTTCTTAGTGAGTTCATCTTTTCTTAAGGTCTTCTAACTTTTTAAGATACTAGTAAATCAGTAAATGCTAATGCTGTAATGTATTGTAAGTTCTTTAACAGATCTCGCTTTAAAGATCTGCCTTGTGTTGTCGGTGTTTATTTTGTACAAGTGTTAAAAACAATATGAAACCTTTTTCATGCACTGTTGTGTAATGGTTCTAGAAATATAACGTAAATATTTTCAAATTTAAATAAAACCTTTAAAAACGTCGATCCATTATTTTGATTTAGTCTTTTAGTAACAATTTGCACCGTTTTCATCTAAAGTGTAGAACAAAATGCATTCTAATACTGTATATATCAATAAAGGAATTTTTATAATAGATGTTCATCTATTTAATATTGTAATTTTCAACCAATCAGTGACGTTGAAATATTATCTTCATGGTAATCTCATTTCAGTGGTAATATAACAACAACGCACGAAAGACCTTGGACCTGGGACGACAGCCTTGTTCCTAACAGACAAGAGTATTGTGGTCAAATGAACGTTGAAACAGAAGATAAAAGGCGAAGAAAAAAGCGTTCAAGCGACGATGATTCAAACGACAATTTTCCAAATTTTGAATCCACTAATTTTCCAAATCTTTATGAAGGATTTACCGGATCAAATAGTGAGTTCCCACCAACCAGAGCATTTCAGACCATTTTAGCTCGAACTCAAATGTCTGACCAGCTAGCAGAGCTTCCTGAAGTTCTTGGACTCCAGAGCGAGCACCAAATTCCAGGTTCCGGTATCCCAGATGCAAATATCCAAAATGGAGGTCTCGCTACAGATATGCCATCATTTGGAACAACATCTAATTTCGAGCAACCAGATTTTGAAACAAATAACCAGTTTGGCAATAATGATTCTAACAATGGTGATACTTCAAACACTGACTCTAATGATAATCCGGATAGCAAACCTTTACTTACTGCTGTGAAAGATATAGCTGCTACAATCGGGTCAGGCGGTTTTCCTCCAGAACCTTCTCCTACAGAGGCTATGGAAAAACTTCGAGATCTACTAAAACAAAATGAAGAAAATATGAATTCCGATAATTCTGATTCCGCAGCGAAGTCTGATACACCTGACAACACGTTTGCAAGAGTTACCACTGTTGGCCCTCCCGTCACCATCAATGTAGGTGATGATAATAGACAAGACGATTTAAATGTTGACAAAGTAGACGACATCCCTAAAGTAGATTCTGTAGAGCTAAAAAACGTCCCCACCATCAATGTGCAGAAAAATGACAACGATGATAACTCAGCTAAAGTAGATGGAACAGACATAAAGGTAGCTGATATTATCGCTCCATTAATGGATGTAAGACCGCCAGAGACAATTGTTAAAACCGTTGAAGATATCATCGATGATAGTAAAGTTATCACTGACACTCCTACCGATGACATTAACAAAGGAATTGAAGCGGCCGATTCTAAAGATGATTCAAACTTGATTCCATCTCTGGGATTCGGAGATCTTGCTGATATTGTAACAAATAATGCTGTCAATGAAGGCATTAATCTAAATAATATGAAAGACAAAATTGATACAGTTAAAGACGTTATCGATGATTTACATGAGAATCAAGATACAATTATGAATGACAAACCACTCGTCAGTGAATCAATTGTCCCAGATGACATAGATAATATGAAGGACAAATTTGATAAAGTGAAAGACGTTATTGATGATTTAAATGAAAATCAAGATACAATCACGAATGAAAAAACACTCATAAGTGAAACAATTGTCCCTGATGATTTAGATAAGCCAATAATAGAAAATTTAAACACGTTAAATGAAGTTGATGATATTAATAACGTTTTGCCTGATATTGAAAATGTCGCTGATAGAACCTCAGACATAGTTTCTGAGATAGAAAATTCTCCTAGTGAAATAGTTGATATTGACAGTTTGAATGAACAAATAGATGATATGAACACAAATGACGGAAGTGACCGTGCAAAAGATAACTTAGATGATGTCGTTTTAGATATGCCTCCAATTGACATCAATAAAGATGAACCGGAAATTGAACCTGTAACAACTGATGACAGTGTATTTGAATCAATTCCAGATGATGTAAAGACAATTTTTGATGAAATAAATGACGATCTAGATAAACAAGAACCGACTGAACTCAGTGAGCTCAGAAATGATAATGAATTAAAAAATGACAAAGATATTCAGGAACTTGTTTCGGAAACGTTAGACATACCCGAGGAGAGTATGACTTCTATGGCCGGTCCGATCAACGATGAAACCAGAGAACAAGAGCAACAACCTGTGAATTCCGACTTTATCGACGATATTGTTAGCGATATTGACGATGATAAAGAATCTGGAACCACATTTGCACCTGAAGCAGATATGGAACCAAAGAAAGAAGATTACTTTGACGACATGAGTGAAAGACTTAAAATATCTGATGAAACAAACGAAGACTTGAAAAATAATTTTGCGTCTACCGAAAATCCTCTTGGGATTTTAAAAGAAACATTTGATGATTTACCAGATTATGATTCTCCATTTGATACTGAAAAAGATAAACATGAAGATACAGACTTCAATACTGATAAAGATATTGATACTGATACAGATTTCAATACTGATGGCATTGAAAATACTGATGACACGACAGGTGTTAGAGCTGATGATATGAAAGATGATGGACAGACAAAACGAGACTTTGATTGGTCGGAACTAGACAGAGATTTTAATGATCAAGAAACAGTAAACGGGAACGATGCGGTTGAAGTTGATAATAATGATGATTATTTAGATTCGGCGAGTCCTATGAATCCACACCAAGATGTAATTAATACGGATAATCAGGAGGATACTGACGGACTTTATGAAAAAGATTACGACATTAATGATCGAAATAGTGATAAATTTGAAAAAGATTTTGAAATAAATTATGACAACAATGACCTGTTTGAAAATAACGAACCCGAAAATAATAATAATGATGACATATCTGACAATTTTGAAAAGGAGAACGACGCCATTACAAATGATCAAGATATTAATGATAACGAACCAAACAAAAATGATAATGATATGAATGAGAATGAAACACTTGATGTGATTAATGTTGATACAGACGACAGATTAGAAACACCTGACAATGAACCCGATTTGGACGATGTAACGAAACTTCCTGATACTTATTATGAAGATAAAGAAGAACATGACCGTTTTGACGAAATCCCTGATCTGGCTGAAGATGTCGTGGAAGATGATCGCAAGACACTTTAAACCCCGTGCTAGAAAGTAAAGAAATGCAGCTAGCATCATGTGAAGTCAAACTTCCTTCAGTATGCTTCAGCTACGAAGTTGAGGTTATGGATAAAGGTATGTGTTTTATATTTCAATCTCAAGAGATCTCATAAAGTCGCTCAGTTTTGCGTTTTTTTTTTTTTCAAATTATATATTGTTTAAGCATGCACTCAACCTTTGACCTGCTGCATTTGGATTTGCCTTGCATTGAATTTGGATATACCATTTTGATGTTTAATGGATGTCAGTATTGAAATACAAAATATTGAGCTACCAACAGTATGGATACATGTCAGACATAATGGAATATCTAGCTATATACTAGTGGCAAAGACTTAACACTTTGAACTCCTAAGGCAACATTTTTGTTGCTTTGCATATACGATCTTAGAGACGATTGTTTCTAATAAATAAAACAATGAAAAGGTGAAATATGCTGAATGTTTTATTGGTTTATGAAAGATAAAAGTTTATAACAATTCGAGTTATACTTGTACTCGATTCTACATTTATATGTTTACTTTTGGGCTGATTTGTGTCATTTCGTATTTTCCCAGACGAAAACACTGGAATACGGCAAAGTAACCGCGGAGCGAAAGGCGAAAGAACAAAATTACAACAAAGTGATTACTTTTTAATCATATGAATTAGCTCGTACATTTACAGGGTTCAGAGATAATTTAATTTTTATGTTATTTAACAGCTTCTACATGTGACAATGGTTGGTATGGACACGTGTTGTTAGACACGTGCTATCAGATTCTAGATACGAGGCTGACTTATAGAGAGGCTGAACTAGAGTGTAAAACGAAAAACGCCAGACTGGTTTTGGCGGGTAGCGAGTTCGAGCGGAAATTTGTCCTCACTGCTGTGTCTAAAGATGGAAAATTATTCAGAGGTAAAGTAGGGCTATCTTTGACATTCTGAAGTTTATCCAAAAAATTTATTTTCGCTCATGACTGGATAAATTTAAAAAAAAACATACAGTTAATTAAATATTCACGTGCATTGTGATCGATATACTGAGATTTATCACGCTGTTAGATATGATTTATACACACAATGTTGAGATACGTACAGTTTTCACATTACAATCGCGGGGAGGGTAGAACGTCTTAAAGTACGAGTACTGTAACCCAACGAATATTCGCGACCAATTAATATTCGCTATATTCGCGGATGGCCACGAAGCGCGAATATTTGTTTGCGCGAATAAGTCCGCACGATTTCGCGAATAAATTGGAGAGATTTTTTTATTTTAGACGCTGTTCATGCAAAGCTACTTGACCGGATATATTCGTATTTTACGGGCACCTGTTAGGAAGTAATGAATTGTTATGAATAGTGCCATAAAGCAATAAAAACATAAACTAAGTAAACTACTACTATTTTATAAATATCAAAAGAACTCTATGTCAATATAGCAATCAAAATAAACATCCACATTTTAATACAGTTTATGAAATACTAGTAGGCCTATTGTCAATCACGTTCCGTATAGGGTACTAAACGGAGCATGTGTCAGTTTTAAGTTTCTTCATATTTACACTTCTATACTAAGTATATGCATACATAGTAAACATCCCTGCATTCTGAGAGTTTATTTTTTATCAACCACCCTTTTAACGACATGTTTAGAAATGAAGACGAACGATGCGTACATGTACATATATAGAGAAAAGGTAATTTGATCACCAAATTTCACTTTCACATACAATATTTAAGGGCTACGGAACGTACTGTTTAATTTTAAATGTAAAATAATTGATCTCAATTAAACGATTAATAAGCGAATAAAGTAATTTCACAGTCATTATCAACGTACTACTATTTCCTCTAAACAATTGTAACAAAACCGATCTGTTTCCTCTAAGTAATATACATTGTAGAATGTGAAAATAATTACTGATACATCACTAACATAATAAGATTTTGAAAAGAATAACATTTTATAAAAAAAAAATATTCATGTATCCCGCAAGTATATTGTATATTTGCATTACGATAATAATGAACCAACCCTTTGTTAGTTATGATTTCAAACTTTCACCATTTAGTTTGTATAATGGACGGAAGTGCAGTAAACGGGTAGCATAGACAAACAAGTACAAGTAAAAATGTTCTGGAATAAAAAAAATTCCGTTCTTTTAAATGCCTTAATAGCAGGGTGGTCTTAATTCAAGTTAATTGCGGTGTGGACTTTAGGTAGAGTTTCCACTGTAATTCGAATGTTTAGTAGGATTTGACTATCTTCAGGTGCCAAATTTTGGATGGAATCACCCACTGACAAAAAGAACTGTAATTATTTCGACGAGAGAGGTGTGGCAACAATGAGGAGTTGCAATACCCAACTGAATGTCGTCTGTGTCAAAGATGCCAAGTCGTTGTGTATGTAGTGTATTTTTTCTGTATCTATTTTAAGCTACGCGTCAGTACAGATATAAATTTTAGCAATATCGTGAATTAACAGTTTTGCTGTATCAATATTTTATTCATTTTGAATAGAAATAGCAACAAAATTTTTATAAAATTATATGTTATTTTTGTCCTCGATTCTTTCCAGAGCGTCCTATTCCTGTACAAATAAAAACTAGTACTGTTGCACTAAATTTGAACATGTCGTAAAATAGAAAACATTGTTTACATAATGCCAAGCATGTATGTGATTCTAACATTTTTTGTAAAACATCGGAAACACATATACAAGTTATGTCCGAAATCTGCAAAATCAACGAAATCATGGCGTCAGAAAAATGTGTCACGTGTTCAAATAAAGATGTTTACTTGTAATGTTGTGTTTCCACAGCTGTGTACACGGTCAACAACCAACCGTTCTACAACGAAGGCGTCACGGGCTACTACGACAGCGCAGGCGCACTGACGATGTTTTCGTCACGCAGGGGAGACAATAAGATTCCATGCGAGCTAACAAGCTCAGCATCCGAGTTTCCGGTTCTGTGGTTTAAAGACGGACTTCTTGTGGAAACAAAAGACACTTGTATGTATAAATGGCCTCATGACTTTGAAAGAAAAAACAAACAACTTGATTATATGCTTTACATAATATTAAATTTAGAATCTCACATTATATAAACTTGAAAATGCAAAACACATAGAGTTTCATAAATATTTATTTTATTTTGAGTAATGCGACTGATATATTATACGCGTGTGATATAACGGTGTAATTCATGACTTTTTTCCATTGGGATAAACTTAATGGAATGCGATTAACAGTATGCAGTATGGTCCAAAAAGAAAACCTGTGTCTGCTGTTAGGATCGGACACTATTCCTCCCTCTGATTTACCACCTATTCTAGTACTTAAAATATTACCATTTCAACAACAATGCCTAGCATTAACTTGTCTTTTTATCTTGTATTTCAAATATATAAAAACCGTCATTATTTTGGTTTTGTAAGAATTTGATCTACATTTGTTACCTCTTTGCTGAAAATGCATCGAACAAATGTTTATTTAGTAATTTTCGTGTCTATTAACACTTTCTTGAGAGAGAAGTGTTTGTCATTTTCGATGTAAACATATGTATTTTGTGACTTCAAAGAAATGCCCTGTGTTATGATAATCATTCACCGTAAATACAAATATATTAAGAAATTTCTCTTTTGTTAAGATTAAATGAGGAGAGAAAAGAGAAAAATTTTAAAGCTGCAATTCGGCTAAATTTAATATTGCATTACATTTGTTGCTTAGAGTCTAAACCTATTTCAGATGCAACAAAATGTTAAACATGTTTTAGTCCCAATGTAAAACATTCTTCATTTACAAATTTACATTTACAGTTTTGTTCATTTTGTCCCGCATTTTTTTAAAATGTGTCGCCTGATATTTAAGTGTTCTTTTAAGTACCGCATTCTTTTAGACTTGTCGCCTGATATCTTATATTCCTTTTTCCGACATGTTTACATATATTTCAGTATGTTCTGTTCTGTTATATTTCAGTAACCTTGTCACGCATATTTTTCAGATGTATCGCCAGATATATCGCTGTATCTTAGTACCGAATTAATTTCATCAATAAACATGGTGACTGACCGTAACCTAGCAACGCCTGCCCTTCAAGGTCAATATTGGTGTGAGGTCTGGGATCGACAGACACTGACCAGGAAAAGATCAAAACCATTTATTGTTCGATACTCAGGTATGGTTTAAACAGATTTAATTATTAGTTTACGATCATTGTTATTAAAGCCATGATCATATAAATCGATTCATGAGCTCCTTTTTGGCAAAGAATGACATCCGATTCCCACTCATTCATTATTTTAGACAACAAGGCATACAGTCAATTTTGAAAATTTAAAAAAGAAACATTTTAAGTTGTTCTGCATGTTTTTATCTTTATATTCACCGCCAATAGATGTAGTTAACTCCCTTGTTACAAGTATGCCAATTTTTATATACATTATATATGTATTTTAAAATAAAATCGAATTGAAAATGATTTTACAGGAAATCAGAGGTTTTTTTTACTGTTGCACTTGCCAATCTGTAGTACAGTTTAAACAAAATAAGCTTATATCTCTTGCAGACGTCATATCATTCCACGGTTCGATGGAGTTGTCGTCCTTTTCTCACAAAGACGAAATTCTGTTTAACATGATGAATCAGAAGTTCCCTCAACTTGTTGCCATAGAAACTGATATGAAGAAAGTGTTTAAAGACGTTTTACCAATGATACAAGCCCGTCTTCCCGATGTTGTTGATGTATTTACATACGTAGATGGAATTAGGTATGCCCTAGGAGCCGAGCATATACAATGATAATTAATTATAGTTGTATCATACTTAAATTGTTTGACATTTCTGTTAAAAGTGTACATAAAGCATACTCGTTGATTGGCTCATTTTTTTCTGGGTTTATTTATTGTTACGACAGAGAAAGGAATAACGATAGAAAAATAACATTCAGATGCTCGTATGTTTTTTTTTCTTCTGGGATTTCATATTGGAACGTGTTTTTATTTTTGTCTATGATACAAACGAGAAAGAACATTAAAACACTCAGCAATCTGATTTATACTCGGGGGTTATGGCCCCTCGTACAAATCAGATAGCCTCGTGTTGCAATGCTCTTTCTTTTACTTAAAGATAGTTCCTTGTGAATATTTTTTTGTCTTTTATCGTGAATAATTATGAATCTGAAATTGGCAAAGCACGCCCAAAGCTAATAAATTTCTATTTTTAGACACGCTCATCCCTGTCACTTTAGACTTTTCTTGATTGACATCTGTGTTTTATTCGGTTTAAGGATATCGTTGTAACATTAGTGCTGTATTTCCAAAAGTCAAAGAACCAGTGATGCTTTCTCAATACAATTGTACTGTGCTCCTCTTAGTTAACGGTACTTAACGCTTTGAAACCAGAAAGAAAACAACTAATGAAACTTATGGTACAATAATTGTCGTAAGCTATAACATATAGGGTATTTTCTACTGTATGGCACAAGGAAACAACAATATATTGGGTCAAAGTCAATTTTAATGGACCAAACGTAGAACATAAGTCTGCCATTTTGAAAAAAGTATGTCATTAATAAAATCGCGGTAATGATGTTACATTTCAGTTTTTTCATGTTTCAGTTAAAATTTCTGCATATTAATTTGCTTGATTTTAAATATTAAAATTACCCTTACTTTGTAACTCAAAATTTATTTTTTCAACAATCAAGAACATTTAGAAAATGATGATTGTTTCAGACATACGCACAAATTTAATGGACTATTGTTGCTTTTGGCAGAATTTGTAAAATGTTGTTCTGTTTTACGTAAAAATCTAGAGATTTAAAATATTTTGCACAAAAACTTTGTTGTATATGTGTATGAATAAAATATGTCAATTCTGACCAATTTTAGCACTGGTCACATGAAAATATGCCATTACCATGAAGTAAGTGATGTCAGACGCGGAATTAGTGATGTTGAGTATACCTACATAAATACAAAACTGTAACTCGAATTGTCGTTTGGAGTCCAGGAGAAATAAAGCTTGCAATATAATTGCTTTCAGCATTACATTTTCTTGTGAAAATATGTTCTTTTATGATATTATTATTAATTTATGAATGACTGGTATAAAGTAACAGCGAGATTCTATTTTTAACAACAGGTCAATACCGAACGTGATTGAGTACCACACATATTTCACGTTAAGCAGAAACTATGACACCATTGATGAAGATGTCGTGTACAATAGGCTAAAAGCCGTTCTCCGGTCAAAGCTCGGAAACCGGAATTACATGGCGGAACTTCCGGGTCATACACCACTATCGTCGTTCAGGACAATGTCACTGCAAAGCACTGGTAAAAAATATTAACAAGTTATTCAAATTCATTAAAAAAAACAACAAGTAATTGTTATAAGCAGGACAATATGAAAGACTAATTATGCTTAAAATAATTATTTTTTGTTCAAGTAAACAGCTAGAATGAGCTTTATTTAAAACATATAATCGGCTTAAGGTTTTTAAAGAAACAAAAGTCATATGAAAACAAAGAAGTAAAAGGACAAAGGGCATAAACTGATTTAAACAAATGCATCAAAAGACTGAATAAAATATCACTTTTAGATAATTTTGACTAAATAAAACATTGACCGATACTACACTAGCACATATTCATTAATTTGATTGAAAAAATCTATGAAACATCATCAACTACAAATAACAGTTAAAGAGTGGCGGTGTGGCCGAGTGGTTAACGCGTCTGACCAATGATTTAAGGATTGCTGACAGCGTGGGTTGAAACCCTATCAGTGGCAAGCCGTTGTTTCCTTGAGCAAGAAATTTTACATTCATTACTAAGCACTGGTTGGTTCCAGTTGTTTCAATAAGCTTATAGCTTCCAACACATTCGAACTACAAACTAACTACAGAAAAAAGGAAATGATATAAAAATATGTATTCTTTTACAGTGGCCTGTCCTGCTGCAACTTTGCAGACGACAAGAGATTTGTACGGCCACACGATCCCGAAGAGAGTTTTCTCTTTTCCAAAAGCTCTCCTTGGAGAATTTTCCAACAGTATTGATAAGTGTAGTAAGTAAATACTTTTATTATTTTCCAGCACAATTGAGTGTTTTTTTTTATATATATTTTAAACATTTTAAGAAATTTACAAACTGGACAGACGGAAAAGCTTTCCCAGGTATAACCTATATATTGTTCTGACTATTCGTTTATCATTGCCTTTTAACTCACATCAAGTTAAAAACTTTTTAAAACTTTAAAATATAAATTATATACAAAGTCAGCAAAACTTAAAATAAATCATAAAATGCTAGTTAATACCGTATAACAATGCAAAGACAGATAAATCAGGGCTCTTTATTTAACCCTTGTATAGATTCACTCCCTTTCTTTTTAGCCATTTACTGTTTTGTATGAAATCTTCTGAACATGAATGATCTCTTCTTGAATGAAATATGAGCCGCGTCACGACAAAACCAACATAATGGGTTTGCGACCAGCATGGATCCAGACCAGCCTGCGCATCCGTGCAGTCTGATCAGGATCCATGCTGTTCGCTTACAAACCCTATAACAAGTAGAGAAACTGATAGCGAACAGCATGGATCATGATCAGACTGCGCGGATGCGCAGGCTGGTCTGGACCATGCTGGTTGCAAACCCACTATGTTGGTTTTGTCGTGACGCGGCTCAAATATCCCTTTTGATCGCAGGCATTACAAACCGATTGCCTTCTGGTACTGCCCGTTGCCTTGGTGATTTCTACACCGGTGCTTACTGGGGAGAAGTTGTTGCGAACGAGTGTATTGAGGAAGCTGACCTTGACCAGTTTAACAACGAGATATGGGGAGCGTCTCCGTATACCGAAAAGCTTACTGAAATGGCACAAGTACGTGGTCATACAAAGTTAATGACAAGATCATATAGTCTTAGTTTTTTTTAGCTTATCTAACAAAACCTTTTCTAATTTTATGAAATTATGTCCTTTTGATCCCGTATTTTGATGTGTCAAGTCAATGATAACCAAACAAGGTGCAGTGGGCCTGGCTCTAAAATTGATGGGTGTGGTAATAAAGAATGGGTAGTTACAGATAATTCTTATGAAACGGTAATAATAAATGGATAATGTATAATTTTACATCAAATTTTCGAGGATAAGACTAGTGTTAACATCTGATACAATTTATATGATTGTTTGTTAAAAGAATAATACTGTGAACAATTAAAATTTTTATATCCGTCCAAAATGGAAACGACATCAAGTGGATTAAATGGTTTAAGATCACTGGTATAAAAACATAAATTATAATTGACATACATGTAAATGAAAAATGTTCTCTTTTAAACATAGGTAACGGTTGATTCGAGAAACGTAGAGAAACTTGTATCGGAAATGGCGAATATCGCCAAGGTGGCGCCAAAATTCACACCAACCGACATTAACAAAATAGCAGACGTTCTGGATCATACGACTCAAGTTCGTAATTTACCACAAAAAGTACGTATCGTTATCATTATCATGATATTAAATGTTGGCTATAAATGTATGGAATTCAAAATGCTATTTTGTTTACATTTTACCACAGTTACGACACATTATTGACATTCAGCGCTCCTACATCAAACATGCTCTAAATTCATTGTTTAAACATTTGAAATTTCTGAAAAATTAAAAAGTATGGATTCCTGAGGCAATATGTGCCTTTAAAAGGGAAATTTTCATTAAGTACTTAATATCATTTGTTGACATTTATAGAAAATTCGTTGTTTTTGTGTATTTGTTGTTGCTGTTGTTGTTGTTTTTGTTGGGTTTTTTTTTGTTACGATTTTTGTGTGCGTGTGTGTTATTTTTTTACACAATGTAAATGATTTAGTTTAAATGTGTCCCTAAAAAGCAGAAGATAGATCTGTGTTTATATACGGAATCCATGTCATGTCAACTTTTGACATTTTTATTTGTCAAACGCAAGAACTGGTTTCTTATTATTTTATATTTCCTTCGGTACCATTCATTCAAATACTTAAGATTGAATACTGCTTAAGCCGGTGCCAGAAGGCATGGATAATGTAGCGCCTTTCATTATATTTCATGAATCAACTCATTCAAATCGAGTCTGCAGTTATCATCTTTTCATTGTTGTTTTCATATTTCTTCAGGGATCTATATCTAAAAAATAGCTCATGTTGGGATGAAAGCTCGACTGACAAACAGGCGATGTTTTATTTGGGCTAAACGGGATACCGTATTAATGTACATGTATATAAATTATTTTATTATTTAGGTTGGAGAGGATGTGTTGAGGACAGTTGATCGTTTAATGGAGAGAAGTGAGAAGGAGTCGCACGTGGCTAACGTAGAGACTAAAGCTGCTAACAGGTTTGAAGCAAATATTAAATGTTCAATATCCATTATTATAAAATTCATCTTGACAGAAATATTTTCCTGTTTTCTTGTTTTGTTTTTTTCTCGTGTAAACAATAAATAAATATTAAAGTACGTAAATAAATCACGTAACTGAACAAACAAATACAAGACGTCTTCTTTAACATTATATTTATTCCAGTATTTTCTCTCCTATATAAAGCAATGATTTTAATCATTTTATTTCCAATAGGATAATAAAATCTTTAGAGAGATATGCGGAGAATGCGGACATTGGCACAAAAGATCAAATGCGATTTGTTTCCGATAACGTCGTGGTCGAGATCTGGAACCTCAACCCGACACTAAAACCGGTCATTGGTTTGGCCGCCGAGAGCCATGGAGCCGGTTTAGACAAGCCATTTAAGACCGAGAGTATTGCCACAGTTTACAACAAATCACATCTATATGACGCAAACGTAGACGCCGCCATTGAACTTCCGGCGGAAGTGTTTGGCATGAAGGAGAAAGGTATTTTAATTTTTATTCTAAAGAATAACGCTTTGTTTCTTATCATAAACAATTTATTTGCGTGACTGAAAGTGTTCTGCCTTTTTAGTACCCTAAAAAGTGTTATCGAAAAGCAGATACATGTACTTATAACTATCAAGTGATCCATGTTTTTTATTATCATTACGTGAATCTGTGAGCATGGTCTATTAATCAGCATTAGCCTATACTAGAAAACTGTTTTTATAATTTCATTTCCTAGAATTAAGTTTTATTTCTTCTCCTTTTAAGGTGGTATGACAAGTAATCGTCTTACCATGATGGTATTCCGAAAGAACAAATTGTTCGAAGCTGCAATTACAGACGGTGGCCGAAAAATGAATCCATCCGAACAACAACTTACTAATCTCAACAGTTACGTCATTTCCGCTAGCATTGCAGGGAAAAAGTTACAAGACCTTAATGAAAAAGTCAAAACTATCTTCAAGCCAATCAAGGTGAGTTAACACCATTTTTTATAATTTAAAAGGAAAATGAGAATTCAGTGAATTGATAATGAAGTTTTTTTTCTTTGTTTCATTTTACCGCCTTTTACTATATCAATAGGTGTCGGATAAAAAATCTGTAATATGGATATTACTCAAATTTTCACTATATGTTTATTATAACGTCTAATTTTACGATACATGTATAATTATGCTTTTACTTTAAAATGTGTTACTAAAAATAGATGCACACATGCACTCATAGACATCAAAATCATGGACCACTGACACAATTATATTAAAATGTTGTATTTAATTGTTATAATATAATGCTCCTCAACAATGTCGACTACCAAATAAATATTCTAGAATGTTGAAAGCGGAAGTCGCTGTGTATGGTGGGATTTTGACATGAATAATTTCAAGGGAGGCTGGTCTAACAAAGGTTGTGTATACGACGGTAAAGTGAATGGTCGGGACGTGTGCCTGTGTGATCATCTTACAAACTTTGCTGTTCTCATTGTGAGTATTGCTTTCCTATGACAATAACTTTGTAAGACATTTTATAGTTCATAGGCAATGCTCATTATAATACACGTAATTCATTTGATTAGATTGTATTACTTAGTTAAAGACCCATTGTGCCTCAGACATGTTATAATTTTAATTTCTAAGTTGCCATAAACACGAACTGTCTGTTGCTACTTTAGCTCTGTTGGCAATGGAAATAATTATAGTGAATAGGTATCTTGTATGAAAGTCAAAATACTACTTTGTTTACATTTTGCTATCTTTACAACACATTGCTGCACATTCAGTGCTACTTTCTTCAGTTGTTTAAGTTATCATCTAAAGTGCTCTCAATCTATTATTTACACATTATTGAACACATGTTTGACATTTCAAAAGAATTAAACTATTTTTAGTCATAATGTGCATTTTAACACTATTTGCGTTTGATTGTAAAGAAATCTTGTAGTTTATTTGAACCATTCTCCAGTCCGCTTTCTCGAACTTATCAGTATTTGATTCATGTGATGAAACTTGGCCGCCACCCTGTAAGGACTGGAAGCCATGTAGATGTAGTGAGGCATATAACTTAATCATTAGGCCACAGCTCCTCCAATTTTTTTAATTAACTTTCTTAATATTCAAATATAATTGTGTGGTTTATATCATGCCTTATAACATCAAACAGTCTTAAAAATCTTCTGAATATTTTATATGAATTATATCACAAAAACTTAGAAATAAACGATTGCATAAGGTATGGTCTAAAATGCGGACTATTTATTTTCAGGATTTCTACGGCCAGGCTAAACCAATACCCGACCACCACGAATTATCTCTCAGTATCATCACAGTGCTCGGTCTTAGTTGTTCAATCCTTGGGTTATCTCTTACCATTATTTCTTACGTTTTCTTTAGGTAAGTAAATTGTTTTCACATTTAAGATTTGACTGTAAAGAATTTTCAGAAGTTGAGCTAACGAACTAAGAGCAAAAACATGAAGACTGAAGGATGCTTACGGTGATCCGTATTAAATAATATTTGTGAAAAGCGCAATTACAGGGTATTGCACCACTGCAACATCAGTATTATTGCACTTACAACGTCAATGTGCATTTTTTATCGAAATCAATGTATACGGAACTTTAGAACTTATAAATCCATTTATGTGGTCATATATATTCCCAGAAGTTAGAGTAATAATAATGGTGACTATATATTTTCAGTACAAAAGAATATATCTTGTTTCAAGAATATGTCTTGTTTTAAACTTGTCTTTGTCTTGTAGAAAACTTCGTCAAGGTCGCGCCCAGCAGTGCTTGTTCAACCTGTCCTTATCACTGCTCCTGTCAATGCTGGTATTCCTGGTCGGAATTAAACAAACACACAGTTACTTTGGCTGTATAACTGTAGCCGTGCTTCTTCATTACCTCATTCTGGTCTCGTTCATGTGGATGTTGATGGAAGCAATACTGCAATACCTTACATTTGTCAAGATACTAGGAACCTATATTACGCGATTTACGTTGAAGACTGTACTTCCGGCCTGGGGTAAGAATTAGAATGTGAACTTCCATTTCAATTTTTTTGCAATATCACATTGCAATAAGAACATAAAATGTTTAATTTTAATTTGTCTTATATGAGCATTGTTTCTTTTTCATGGAAAAGACAAATGTAACAAGTATTAAGTGATGGGTGGCGGCTGCAAAATATCGCCCAGAATTTGATGGGTGGCGGCTGTAAAATATCGCCCAGATCTTTATCATCGTCGTTAATACTTCTAAATATACAATAATATTGATTACCGCCTACACATGTTCATAAGAAGCATGTTCCTATTCATGGCTTAATATTTGAAGGCCCATTTTGCCTCAGAAATGCTATCTCAAAAACTTTTCTAGTTTTGAGATCTTGTTAAAGTTTCCAAAAAATATACTCATTTGCCCTATACATTAACTGTTGTATGCCTCTTTTGCTCTGTTGGCAATTGGTGTGATTATATAGTGAGTTAGTATTTGGTCAGGAAGTCAAAATACTACATTGTTTACATTTTGTTACCTTTTGAAAATACTACACATTTTTAATCGTTCTACGCTACTTTCTTCAGTTGTTAAACATCTAATTGCTCTTAACCCATTATTAGTCCCCTACCGGTTTACCGGAGGGGACTTTAGGTTTACCCTCCGTCCGTCTGTCCGTCTGTCCGCACTTACAGGACAGTAATTATGTGGCTAGAGGGACAATAGGTAAGTGTTCTTTCTCTGATGTCATTCATTCAATAATGCTTTTATGTGGCTATTTTCTTTTGTGTGGCTAAAAAGAACATTAGAGAGAACAATAGAGTAGCCACATTATTACTCTCCTGTTAGAACGTCAGTCCGTCCGTCAGTCTGTCCACAAAACTGGATCCCGCGATAACGCAAAAAGTACTGAAAATATTTTAATGAAACTTGATATATGGATAGATGGCAGTATGGAGATTATGCACGTCTTTTTCTTTTCTTCCTATGTTGAAAATTCTGGTTGCTATGGCATCAAATAGACTGAAAATATGGCAAATTTTACACATAACCTGGATCCCGCGATAACACAAAAAGTACTGAAAATATTTTTATGAAACTTGATATATGGATAGATGGCAGTATGGAAATTATGCACATCCTTTTCTTATTTTCCTATGTTGAAAATTCTGATTGCTATGGCAACAAATAGACTGAATTTCAAGATTTCTGATTCTAGTTTTTAAGTTTTTTCACTATAAGTTCTTTATTTCTTAAGGTATTTTCTTCAAACTTTAAATATAAGTTGCTAGTCATCAACCACATCATATGTGACAAGGTTTACAACTCTAGCACAAAATTTATCAGAATTACCTCCCTTGAACTTTTCATGAAAAAAACATTGTTTTTTTTAATAACTTCTTTTTTTCTGAATGTATCTACTTCAAACTTCATATAAATGTTTCTTATTAACACTCAACATTTGTGAGTGTTCAATACTCTAGCAAGACTATTTCCAGAATTATGCCCCTTTTGAACTTAGACTTTTTTTTTTTGAGAAATTGGTAATTTTTACTCCAACTTCTTCAATCATGATAGGATTTTCTTCAAACTCCCACATCATAATAATATGACAAGGTTTATAAATCTAGCATCCATATTTCCAGAATTATCTCCTCCTTAAACTTTTAATTTTTCCTATTCGTTCTTTTAACTTTCATTTACTTCAAATTCAAAATAAACATTCAATATTCATACAGTAAAGACTGTCTTAGCGACCCCCTGTATATAGCGACCATAGTTAGGTGCGCCGAACAGTATTTACTATATAAATGGTCTGTATGTAGCGACTCCCTGTCTAGTCCGTACAACGACCATGATTTAGTCACCCGTTACGGTATTTGAGCCGTGAACAGCGACTTTTGCAAGGGGAGCATGGCTTGAACTAGGTGACGACTTGGCGAAGAAGTCGCCTTCGGATCAGCGACTTTGCTTCAGTCGCCCGATTTTTATAATTTTCCGTCATACTTATTTACGCCGCTAGGTCTGTTAATAATTTGTTTACCTCTCAATTACAACCAATTACCTTTAATCCGCTAATTAAGAACGCGTGTCAACATCAACAAAGTTCAATACACGCCGCAAGGCAAGAGTTCACAATGTTTATCTATCTCATTACGTATTCATGATTGACGAATCAGAACGCGCGTTGTATCAACGGCAGTTTGCATTGACCAATCGGCGACACGCTAATACACTGTGGCTGTTTGTTGACAATTACACAATATGGCGACAAATTCAATCAATTTTCGCCGATAAAATGATTAAAGACACATGCATATACATAATTGCTGCGGTGTTTTGGCGAGTAAAGATAAACAATGCCAAACGTCTTAAAGGTGTGGTTATGTTTGAAACCTCGATTGTTAATTTTTTTCGGAGCACTTATCTGGAAATTATGTGGAGATTTGTTTTATTAATACATTGAACTCCGTAAAGTAAACAGGTTGATTATACAAAATTAAATGTCTCTACAGTAACATCTCATTAGTAAAATTGAAATTAAACATTTTTTTACAAACAGATTTATCAATATAAATTACATTTTAATGAATATGTAACTTTTAGATACTAATGTTATGGTGTAGTTTATAATCTTAACCAATTATACATGCAATTTTAACTTAAACCCTTAGTATGGTACTATCCTGCTTTTCAACAAAATATTGGTATGATATGTTCATATATCCGAATTATATAGAGACTGTCCACAGTGACTCCCTGTCTATAATGACCTTTTTTCTTTTCTCCCATCGAAGGTCACTGTAAACAGTCTTTACTGTACCTTCATTACTAATTGTTCTTTGTTACACTCACATCATGTATGACATCGTTATCTCCTTTTTAAAAATTTTGCTTTTAAAAATGTTATATTTTGATAACAGGGATGTTTAAAAAATAACTTTAGAGTGTCCTTCAGTCCGTCTGTCTGTCTGTACATAAAAACTGTTTCCTGTGATCACTTTTAAAGAACTTTTTCAACAAATTTACTTAAAATAGAAACATAAGTGAATGGCCAATGGCCCCTCAGAATGTTGCTTGGGCCCTTGCCGGTAGGGGACTTATGGATTGCTTGCAATACTATGATAATTGCTTGTTAAAACAGAACTAAACACATGTTTGACATTTCTAAAGAATTTCTAATTGATTTCTTAGTCATAATTGCCTATAATCAAAGTTATTTTCTCTACTTTCAACGTTATTTTACAGTTTGTTTATTTTCATCACCTTGCTTCTTTGACACTAATGTGATTAAAATTGTTCCATTCTTTATCGTCTTGTACATTAATAGAATAATACTTAAAGGCCCATTATGCCTAAGAAATGCTATTATTCTTATTTCTTAAAACCTTTTAATTTTTGTTGTTTTGTTGTAAGAGTTTCCAAACAGTTACTCATTTGCTAACTAGCTGAACTATCTTTTGCTTTGTACAGTTATAGTGTTTAAATATTTTGTATGGAAGACAAAAAAACTAATTTGTTTACATTTTGCTATTATTTTGACACATAATTTCACATTGAGCTCTACTTCCTACAGGTGATCAGCATCTAACTTGTCCTAAAATCTTTATTTGAGCCTCGTCACGACAAAACCAACATAGTGCGTTTGCGACCAGCATGGATCTAGACCAGCCTGCGCATCCGCGCAGTCTGATCAGGATCCATGCTGTTCGCTTACCAACCCTATTACATGTAGGGACAGCATGGATCCTGATCAGACGCAAACGCACTATGTTGGTTTTGTCGTGACGAGGCTCATATTTGCCTTTTCTAAAAAACGGAAAAATATTCGTTTCTGAGGCATAATGTGCCTTAGAGTAATATTTTTATATGATTTTGTTTTAAAGGATTGCCGTTTGATACCGTCGTTGCTGTCCTTGGCGTAGATTACACCCTCTACAAGGGTGGACCAAATTAGTAGGTTTTTTAATCAACTGTATATGCACGAGAGGTAACGAGGTTTAGCATGAAAAAAGGACTATATTATATACATTTACATGGTTTTGGTTCAGTCTTGTAATTTTGTAGGTCTTGGTGGCGGTTTTGCATAAAATGGTGAAATTATTTACTATGGCGCTTTGTACTTCTTTGGTTCGGGCAATGTTCCAGCCTTTAATACTCACGTTAAGTATACTGTAGCTTGTTTTGGAAGAAAATTAAATTTGAATTGCTTTGAATTATATAATCTTGTATGACGTAGAGACAGACTAAAGTAGATCATACAATATATGTGTATACATTTGTATATGTATATGACGTACCTTTGTAGGAATTCAGAGCATTGCTGTTTTCCTTCTTTGATACCGTATAAATATTTAACATTTATGGTTTTGATTATTTTTTTATTTCAATATTTTTTAAAAGACGATTAAGGTAAAGGAAAGGAAGCTTGTTTTTGCATGCGCTACAGGAAATACGTTTTTATATGTGTTGTTCGGCTTTAACTCACTACAGTGTTGGAGCAATACCTATAGGCATTTGCAGAAATAATGATCCACATCCTGGAAAAAAAAAATTGTTTTTTCAGCCCATTAGCTTACATTTTTCGTTCATGATCGTAAATATATCGGTGTGAAGAGATTAAAAAAAACATTTTTAAAGAATTACACGGTTTCGGACTTTTTTTTTCCTCCT